TTAGTCCTGCATGGTTTCTGATGAGAAATCAGCTGTTAATCTTATAAAAGATTTTTTTTTTTTGGCATGTGATGAGTCTTTTACTATTTTAAAAATTCTCTTTTTGTCTTTGTCTTTTGATAGTTTAGCTATGATATGCTCAGTTGTGGAGCTCTTTGGATATATCCTGCTAGAAGTTTTTTGATCTTCTTATATGCAGAGATTAATATTTTTCATCAAATTTGAGAGATAATTGAACATTATTTCTTCAAATATTCCTTCTGTCCTTTTATTTCTCTCATCTTCTTCAGGGATTCCTATTATGAATATGTTGGTGTGTTTGATGGTACCCCAGAGGCCTCTCAGGCTCTGCTCATTTTTTTAAATCTTTTCTCTTTTTATTCCTAGATCGGATAAATCACAATTGATCTATCTTAAGGTTCATTGACCCCTTATAGTCGATTTAAAATTTCAGTTAAGGTACTTTTCAAGCCCTAAATTTCTATTTGGATATTTAAAAATAATTCTTTCTATTTATTTGTTGCTTTTCTCTGTTTCTTAAGACAACATTCTCATCCTTTTTTTTTTTGTTCCTGAGACATAATTTATTTTAGTACCTTAAACACATGAAAATAGTTGATTTTTATCTTTGTCTACTAAATCCAATGTCTGAGCTTCCTCAGAGACAGTTTCTATTGACTACTTTTCCCCCCTCTGTGGGCCATTCTTTCTTATTTATTGGCATCTCTTATTGTTTTTTTGTTTTTGGTGGTGGTGGTTGTTGTTGAAAATGAAACATTTAAAATAATATAACATGGCAATCCTACAAATCAGATTTCCACCTCCTTTCTGGAGTTTCTTGTTGTTTCTTGTTGTTGTTCTGCTGTTTATTTGCATAGTGACTTTCCTGAACTAATTCTGTAAAGTCTATTCTTTGTTCTGTGTGGCTGAGATGAGTCAGTGGCCTGTAAGAACAGATGATGGGTGTGAGGCAGGGAAAATGGGATGATGAGCCTGACCACCCCAGAGGCAAGTGGCAGGGGACACCGAGAGGAACTCATGAAACCCAGGAGGCAGAGGAGTTCCTTCAGAGGGGAGGAGGCAGACAAATTGATGTCTGAGGGTAGATTGAAGGAGCTGGAATAATACATTCATTGAGAATACTGGTTGGGGAATAACATATTCCTGGATTTGTTTCCTTGTTTTTTCAGTTGGTAACTGTCTTAAGGTAAAGGTGTTTGGGGATAGAAAAAGTTACAGTGTAACAAAAGCAATAATGGACCATAGATGTTAGAGTTGAGATCGGAGATGGAAATAGGAAACTAACCTACATCTAATGAACCGTGTGTCAATAAATAAGTCACTCACTCTGTGTTTCTGAGTTTCAGGTATGGGTCAGAGAAGGAGGTGACTCATCTAGTCTAGCATAGCCAGGGAGAATTTAGCTGAAAGGTGAATTATGATTAATAGAAGATGACTAATAATAGACGTGTTTAATGTTATTGTGTACACCTGACATAATGCAATTGATGTGATTGAATAATGTCTGTAGAAATTGTATTAAATCAGCTGTGTAGATTTTTTCTATTGCATTTTATTATAAAACTAGAGATGCATTTCTTTCTGAAATATAGTCACATTTTAAAAATGAAGTTTAGCCTAAAGCTGCCTCCTTATGTATTTTAAGTTCAGCCTAAAAGTTTCTCCTTACATAATGAATTGTAACCTAACTAGAGGTATAAATACTCTTCTACTAATCACTGAGTCTTGGCCCATTGCAGACAGCCAACTGTTCAAACCATGTTCAAATAAGGAAAATACTGAGATGTAACCAATCCAGCTGTTTCTGCACCTCACTTCCACCTCTGTACCTCGATTTCCTTTTTCAGTCCATAAATCCTCTCTGACCATGAGGTAGCACCAGTGTCACTCTGAACCTATTCTGGTTCGGGGGACTTCTGATTCTCGATTAAACTCTGTTAAATTTAATTTGTCTTAAGTTTCATTTTTAACACAATTAAGAATAGGATGGATCCTTTGTATCACACACATGCAATTAAAATATGGTTTTTGATAAAACATAATTAGTACCATAAATGTGTCTGTTTATCCTTCTACAGGAGGGCCTGAAGTTGTAACTGCCCACTGTGAGATAAGGTGTAATAGGGGGAAAATGAGAGCACTTTCACAGCACCAGGGCAAACATTTTTCTGCCTGCACTGGGCCTTTGGAAGAGGTGAGGAGGGGACACTGGAAGGGCCTGAGAACAGAGGCCTATTTGTGCACTAACATTCTCCCCAGCACCACTGGCAATTCATCCCTTGTTCTTACTTGATTCCTGACTTTGGTATGAAAGAAAGATGTTGCTACATGATGTTTTTGCCACCAGCAAAGCCAATATGTTTACTCCTCACTGTTCTTCCCAGGTGAGGGTCCTTCATTGTATTTATCACACCTATACTGTTGCCTCCCTGGTGCAAGGGCATGGGAAAACCACTAGGCAGAGGGATGATTGCACCTTAATCTGCAGCTTTGCAAGCAATTTAGTAGACTGTCCTGACTGGATCCACTAGGACGGAAGCTCCCTGACAACAGCATCCTATTCCTTATTGTTCTCTATTTTGTCTCCAGCACTTATAGTGGTATCTGTACATAGTAGATGATCAAGAAACAGTTTCTGAATCAATAAGTTATTAATTATTGGATCATGGACTAGATTGAGGTGGGATCCTGATGAGAACTGGGGCATCTTTTCACCATAGAGTTCTTACCTGCTGGGGTGCATTTTTAGGAGCAGCATCAGAAACTGTAATACTTTTGGCTGTCTTTGACTGTCCTGGTGTTGCAGGTCCACATTTTATTGGTAGGTCCAACTCCTATTTCTTCTCCCTTCTGAGTGAACTCACTGTGTGCAGGAATTGGCAGATATTTTGGTATTGAGACCTTGACCTTGACAGATGCCCTGAGCCTCAAATCCTCATTCTGTAGTCCTTCACTGATGGCAGGCTTTACTTGTTCAAAGGCCTTTCCATTGTAGCCGGTGTGCAGTTGCGAATGTGACCCATGAATTCAAGCCATCCTCCATAGAGTGGTCATCAGTTCCTGAATTAGTGGAGTGGTTCTGGTCAGATTTGTGGGTCTCATGGTGCTGGGTCCATGTGGCAAGGCCTCAATACAGGGTGGCAACCCTCCCCTCCCAGCCAACCTTATCCAACCTGAACATCTTTGAGGCATATTTTCAGCGTGACTTGACACTGTTTTTGTCCCATGGTGGAACGCTACCCACGAATTTCTGAAGTTCTGCATGATAAGCAACTTGTGGAGATGAGCCCCAACCTGGCAGCTGGGGTCCTTCCGTAGGGAACAGTGTTGAGCTGGGGAGCGGATCAGACCTGGTCACAGTATGGCAGACATCAAACTCCTTAAGAGCACTTTCCTTTATTAAATTACAAAGAGTTTAGAAGCTCTGAGTCTTTGGATCTTAAAGTGAAAATAAATAGCCATTACAATATTTTCCAAGGACAAAAAATATTTTTTTATTCAATAAATCCCTAATCTGCTACATATGTTTATTTTTTTTGCTTGGTACACCCAGCCCCACACCAACTTCTTCCACATTTTCAATTGGAATTTAACCATGTTCCATGATATCCCTTTGGTTTATTCTAGGAGCCATCTGGGTGGCTTTCATGGGCTGCTTCTTTATACCAGTATTTCAACAATCTGGCAGACAGGGTGAGATTCCTTTCTAAGGAGATAATTGCAACATAGAGGGAAGTTCAGCCTCATTTTTTAGGTCCTAAATATGGAAGATAAAATTTTTGTTTAAGGTTTTAATGAAATTATAACTCCTATGGTTGGACTCTTAAGCTCTAAACATTACAAAAAACCAAGCAAAAATAAAAACAAAACACAAAGTTGTTTCATTGGCCAAAATAAATGTGAAGTGGAAAAGACCCATTGTTTCTAAAGATTTCTCCAAACGTCTCAAGGGTGGGCTGAGTAGCAAATGGCCAAGAGCATGGATTTCCTGGCTGTGTGGCCTGGGTCCCGGTGCAGAGCTATTTGGATGCACAATTTCGCTGTTTGCAAAAGCAGCGCTATTTGCTTATTAGGAGCGCCTACCTTATAGATTTGCAGAACTAAATGAGTTCATAGCAGTCACTTGGGGTTTCTAGCAAAGGATAAGCACTGAGAAGGTTTTGATCTTGCTGATCTATAATCCTAGCAATAAATACATCTCATTTTCCCTTCCCTTTTCCCTTGTTGTGTCCTAATCCATGCCCTTCACATTATCACATTTCCTAAGCTCTCAGCCCTGTCTCTCACCCTGACCCCTTTGGCTTCCCACCTTCCCACCCCTCATCTGTCTCTGGGACTTTTATTGAGTATATGGAGTTATTTGTCTTTCCTGAGACCATCCCTTCCTTTACTTATGTCTTTATTCTTCTCTGAGGTTTTATAACCTGGTTGCTATTGACATTTCGGGCCAGGTATTCTCTGTTGTGGGGGCTGCGCTGTACTTTGCAGGATGGTTAGCTGCATCCCTGGCCTCTACCCACCAGGGGCCAGAAGTATTCTTTCTACTCTTAAGTTTGACAACCAAAAATATCCCTCAGAGAGCCAATCTCCCCAATGCTGGTTGAGAAGAACAACCTATTCTGCCTACTTGGGGATAATTGCCTACTACATATTGACTGTTTCTTAACTGGGATGTCAGAAACAGTTCATCAAAAGCAAATAGTAGGAGCCTAGGAGTCCATTGCGAGATGAACACCCACCTGCATTTTGTAGGATAAGTCACTCCTTTGGCTGAGAGCTAGAGGCCTCAGTCCAACCCCCACTTCTCCCCGGTGCCTCACAATTCCAGCTAAATAGACCTGAGAGACGCTGAATTATTTTCTAGTCTAGAGCTAGGATTCTGCACCCTCTGCATGGTGTAAGATCTCCGGGCAGAGGGGAGGGGCACCTTCAAGCCCCACCTAGGGAGAGACACAGTGAGATGGCCAGTGAGACACAAGTGCTGATGAGCAGGACAAACTTTATTTTTGACAGGGTCAGGCACAAGCGCCACCAATGCTTTGCAGGGGGAGCTGGGAGATTCCCGACACCAGACAGGAAGAGCCTTCTATGGAGAGCTCAGACCCTCGACAGGAACACCCTAGCTCACCCCATGAAAACCAGAACGGGGTGTCTGGGAGAGGATGTGTCAGGATGGGACTTTTGCTTTGCCCTTGGGATTCTGGTTCCCTGTAAAGTCGCTTGTCTCAGCGTCAGGGTGCAGATCAGCAGCAGCCCCCGCCCTGCTGACCACTGCCCCGGTCGCAGGAGTCGGAGCTCTGGCGCCGGCAGCGGTGGGACCTGCGGCGCCTGTGGTGGCTCAGGCAGCAGCCGCCCTCGGAGCTGGGGCCAGAGCAGCCCCCGGGACTCGGAGCGCAGCCAGAGGCTGGGGGCAGACACTGCGCCGGGCTCTTCGGGGGACACTTGGGTGAGGGGCACTTGGGCGGGGGCTGGCACTGCTGCTGGTTCTGCTGGCAGGACATCTCGGCAGGAGTTGGGGTGTCCTGCACAAAACAAAGGCACTTGTCAGTTCAGAATCTACAGCACAAGGTCCCCTTGCCTCTTAGCCAGCTGCCTCCTGAGCCAGGAGCTGCAGGAGGGTGAGGGACGCTGACGTGCAGTTGGTGGGATCCTGCCAGATGCCTCCCGCTCTGCTCTCCCCCCAGGACAGATAGCTGTCAGTCTCACTGGGCGTCCAAGTTTTGAACCTCCAAAGAACACTAGGGGATGCTCCCATTTGGGAAAAGCATGCTGGAGGACAGATGTCACAGGAAACACGTGTGGACATGAGTAGGAAGAGGACAAGAGGGTCCCTGAGCTCCTGTGGCCTTTGCAGGCTGTGCAATTGCTGTCAGCCCGCCCCCCCCATTGCTGCCCTCTCTGCAGCCCTCGCCACGGGGTTTCATCCCAGCCCTCTCTGCTTCCCTCCCCGGCTACGGCCTTAGCTCCCTGTTCCAGCACCCAGGTGGCATCCCGGCCCCACTGGACACTCACCGGGTGCGCAGGAGGAAGGAGGAGGCTGTTCCTGAGGAGGCCGTGGATGAGGAGCCCAGGGCAGGAGCACTTTTATCCCGTGCAGGGTGCGTGATGCACAGCCTGAGCATGCTGCTGCTTTCCCAACCAGGGAGGGGACAGCTGGCACACACCCAGGACCAGGTTTCCAGCTTCTCTCTGGGCACTTCCATAATGTCTGAGTAACGTGACTGAACCAGGAAGCAGGATGGCTGTCCACATACCTCCCACTGGGCTTCCCCAGAGCTCGCCATTGCTTCTCCCCTTCCTTCCTTTCTTCCTTCATTCTTTGGCTCACGTGCTTCAGAGCAGAATCTGTCTCATGTACCTTCCTGGGAATGAGCACTACTGTGACAGAATTCTTTCCTGAGCTCATGGTCTAACAGGACAGACACACCAACAGACAAGTGAATGCATCATGAAACACATCTCTAGTGACACATTCTGTAATATAATATGCACAAAGTCCCCAGTTACCCAATGGCCATGGCCTCCAGGTGCAATCCACTGCTGAGCTCCCGGCAGTGAGGTGCCTGGCCAGGAGATGAGGGAATGAATGTACAGTGACCCTTTCTGGTCAGAGCCTCTGGGATGACCTCATGGCACCCACGAGGCAGCATGGAGTTTCTACTCATGAAGGGGCAAAACCAACTTAGCTTTTGATGGAGAAATAAGTAAATTATACAGAGCTGAAAATATCCTTTTTAAAAAAATAAATTCATGTAAACTGAAAACTATTTGCCCAATTGAATCTATTACAATATGCTATATTCAAAGAAAAATATAACTAGGACTACAAATAAACTTTAATAGTTCTATTCTCATCAGCTCTGCTGAACAGGACAGGCCTTTGAAAATGCCATGAGGGCAGAGTTCCTCTCTCTCCTGGTTTCCCCGGGGAGTCCTCATTTACAACCTGTGTCCCAGTGAAATTACTTGATAGTGTCTTGGTTTAGACAATCACACAGGGAGCAGAGACCAGCCTAATGGATCTGGCACTAACAGCACTCTTGGAGCTGTGACTGGGATGGGGACTTCACCTGCTGTCCTGTCTCCCACATACCTGATCCTCCTCTTTCCTAACTGCCATCGTCAATACTTCCTCCTGAATTTCTTCTCACTCAGTCGTGAACCGCTGAATTCCTACATTCAGCAAAATTTAATGGTCAGCTGTGGGTCAAGCACTGTGCCCAGCCCTGGGGAAGCAGCCATAGGTGAGAGGGTCACAGTCTGACGCTCCAGCCATGAGAGGAAGCACCAAAGGATGAACTACAACTGTGGTGTGTCTTAGAGAGAAATTACAGGTTCTGTGGGGCATGTAAGAACAAGGCCTAACAAGGTCTGGGAGTTCATATTTTTCTGCAGAAATGTGTAGTTTTTCTACTTGACTTGTGATTCAACAGAAGAAAGCATGAAGGCCCTTTTTGCTTTAAATGGGTATAATCTGGAGTCACTGGCAACAACTGAAGAGTAACATCAATCGCAATGGTTGGGTAAATTCCAAAGTTTCTGGATGACTCTCAGTGTGGGGAGGAGGCTCCTTAACTCCTATGAACAGGGTGGATGTTGAGGTTGTCAGCTGGGGCAGGAGAGAAAGACGGGGTGGACTGTGTGACCATGAGAGCTGCCAGACTGGCTTCTATGACCATGTGACACATCCTTGGTGGATTCCAAGAAATCGCATGGAGATACATTGAGACTATTTAAACAATTGGTCATTTCGGCTATTATGATGTGGGAAAATATGGTCATTGTGATCTCACACTCAGAAGCTGAAGACATCAGGTCATATTTAGGTTACACATTACAAGAGATACTTATAATTTGTAAAAATGACCCATTTTGTAAACTTAAAAAAATCCAGATAGACCATCAATTCTAAGGAGAGGGTTGGAATAGTCGAGGTATTACCGCACTGATCACATTGAAGGGAAACTAAAAAAGCATATGATCATCTCAAAAGATGTGGAAAAAGCTTTAAACAAAATTCTATATTAATTCGTAATAAAAACTCTCAGCAAGGACTAGAAGGGAACATCCTCAATGTGATAAAGGGCATCAAGAAGAAAACCTTAGCGCTAACATTGCACTTAATAGTGAGAAAATGGATGTTTTCTCCTACCATGAGGAGCAAGGCAAAGGCAGATCTATGGAGCACAGTGTCCAAAAATACACCCAGAAGATATTTTATTAATTTATTTTAAGCAAAAGGAACAAAGGCAATCGTTTCCACAAATGATGCTGAAACAATTTAACATTTATTTGTAAAAATCAGACCTAATTCTCCATAAAAATTACTTTAAGTTCTTTGAGAAATCTCCATAAGGTTTTCCACAGAGGTTATTCTAATTTACATTCCCAACAAATGTGTGTTAGTTCTTCTTTAAATGTTTGGTGGAATTTAACTATGAGACCATCAAGTTCTGGGCTTTTCTTTGATGGGAGACTATTTATTACTGATTTAATATCCTTACTCATTATTGGTAATTTCAGGTTTTCCATTTCTTCATAATTCAGTTTGGTAGGTTATATGTGTTTAGTAATTTATCCATTTCTTTTAGATTATCTAATTTTCTTCTCTCTTTTTTCCTAGTTAGTCTAAAGATTTGTTAATTTTGTTTATCTTTTCAAAAATATTTTCTTAGTTTTGTTGATTTTTTCCTATTGTTGTATAGTCTCTATTTCATTTATTTTTGCTCTGAGTTTTGTTATTTCTTTCATTCTGCTAACTTTCAGTTTAGTTTGTTCTTATTTTTGTAGTTCCTTGAAGTTTAATATTAGCTTGTTTCTTTGAGATGTTTCTTCTTTTTGATATAGGCACTTATTGCTACAAAATTTCATCTTAGGACTGCTTTCACTGCATCCCATAGGTTTTGGTATGTTTTATTTTTATTTTTGTTTATCACAGATAATTTTTTATTTTCCTTTTGATTTCTTCTGTGACCCACTGGTTGTTTAAGAGCATATTGCTTAATTTCCACATATTGGTGAATTTTACAAGATTTTTCCTATTATTGATTTCTAGCTTCATGTCATTGACTGATATGATTTCAATCTTAAGTTTGTTAAGACTTGTTTTGCAGTGTAATTTATCTGTTTTGGAGAATGTTTTGCATGTGCTTGAGAAGAAAATGTCTTCTGTTGCTGTTGGATGGAATGTTTTGTATATGTCTGTTAGGCCAATTTGGTCAAAAGTGTAATTCAAGCCCAATGTTTGCTTATTAGTTTTTTGTCTAGATGATCTGTTTATTGTTGAAAGCGAAATACAGAGGCTTCCTGCTGTTACTGTATTGCAGTCTATCTTTTCCTTCAGATCATTTAATAATTTCTTTATGCATAAATGCTCTGATACTGGGTGCATATGTAATTGTTATGTCCTGTTGATTATTTGACTGCTTTATCATTATATAATGGCTTTCTCCATATTTTGTATAGTTTTAACTTAAAGTATACTTTATCTGCTGTAAGTGTAGCTACCCCTGCTCTTTCCGTTTAAAATATGCATGGAATATCTTTTTCCATCCTTCACTTTTAATCTATGTGTGTCTTTACTAGTATAGCGAGTCTCTTATAGGTAGCGTATGGTTAGATCTTGGTTTTTTATTTAAAAAAATCTATTCAGCCGCTCTGTGTCATTTGATTGGTTAATTTAATCCACTTACATTCAAGGTAATTATTGACAGATAAGGACTTTCTACTGCCACTTTGTTAATTGTTTTTTAGTTGTTTTGTAGATCTTTTGCTTTGTTTTCATCTCTTGCTGTCTTCTTTGTGATTTGGTGTTTTCTTTGGTGGACTGCTTTGAATCATTTCTTTTTATATTTTGTGAGTCAACTATAGTTTTTTGCTCTGTGGTTACCATGGGCTTATATAAAACATATAAATTTAAAACAGGCTATTTAAGCTGATAGCAACTTAACTTTAATCACAAACAAAAACTACGCTTTCACTCTTCTGACCCACCTTTTATGGTTTTGATGTCAAAATTGACCTTTTTTTGTAAACTGTATTCCTTAATAATTTATTGTAGCCACAGTTGTTTTCAATCTTTGTCTTTTAAACCTTCATACTAGAGATAAAACTGCTTTATACATCACTCTTACAGTTTTATTTATTTATTTTTTTTGAGACAGAATCTCACTTTGTTGCCCAGGCTAGAGTGAGTGTTGTGGTGTCAGCCTAGCTCACAGCAACCTCAAACTCCTGGGCTCAAGTGATCCTCCTGCCTCAGCCTCCCAAGTAGCTGGGACTACAGGCATGCACCACCATGCCTGGCTAATTTTTTCTATATATATTAGTTGGCCAATTAATTTCTTTCTATTTATAGTAGAGACGGGGTCTCGCTCTTGCTCAGGCTGGTTTCAAATTCCTGACCTTGAGCAATCCTTCCACTTCAGCCTCCCAGAGTGCTAGTATTACAGGCGTGAGCCACCACGCCTAGCCTACAGTTTTAGAGTATTTTGAATATGACCGTATATTACTTATACCCTTGAGTATTTTACTTTTATGTTTTATGTTATTGTTTAGCAGCCTTTTGTTTTAACTTAAAGAACTCCCTTTAGCAATTCCTCTGGAGCAGGCCTAGTGATGATGAGTTCCCTTAGCTTCTGTTTATCTGAGAAAGTTTTATTTCTCTGTAATTTCTGGAGGACAGATTTGCCAGGTAAAGTACTCTTTACCTGGAAGGTTTTTTGCCTTCAGAAATTTGAATTTATAATCCTACTCTCTCCTGGCCTGTAGAGTTTCTGCCAATAAATCTACTGATGGCTGTATTGAGACTCCCCTGAATGTGATATTTCTCTCTCTTGATGTTTTTAGTACTCTTTCTTTGTTTTTCATTTTCTATAATTTTATTCATGCGTCTTAATGAATTCCCTTTGAGTTGAAATTGATTGAGACTTATAAAATTCCTGCACCTCGATGCTGTCCTCTTTCCCCAGATAGGGGAAATTTTCAGTCATTATTACCTTAAATATTCTTTTGGGGCTTTTTTATCTGTCTTCTCCTTTAGAAACTCCCGTTATGTATACATTAGTCCTCTTAATAGTGTCTCCAAATTTCTGTAGGCCTTTAAAATTATTTTTCATCCTTTTTTTCTTTTTGCTCCTATAATTGGATAATTTCAAATTTCTTATCATCAAAT